GAGAGGACTCTTTAAAGTAGAGACACTACATACTGATATACACCTGAACATCAGCAGGAGAGGACTCTTTAAAGTAGAGACACTACATACTGATATACACTTGAACATCAGCAGGAGAGGACTCTTTAAAGTAGAGACACTACATACTGATATACACCTGAACATCAGCAGGAGAGGACTCTTTAAAGTAGAGACACTACATACTGATAACACCTGAACATCAGCAGGAGAGGACTCTTTAAAGTAGAGACACTACATAACTGATATACACCTGAACATCAGCAGGAGAGGACTCTTTAAAGTAGAGACACTACATACTGATATACACCTGAACATCAGCAGGAGAGGACTCTTTAAAGTAGAGACACTACATACTGATATACACCTGAACATCAGCAGGAGAGGACTCTTTAAAGTAGAGGACACTACATACTGATATAACACCTGAACATCAGCAGGTGAGGACTCTTTAAAGTAGAGACCACTACATACTGATATACACCTGAACATCAGCAGGAGAGGACTCTTTAAAGTAGAGACACTACATACTGATATACACCTGAACATCAGCAGGAGAGGACTCTTTAAAGTAGAGACACTACATACTGATATACACCTGAACATCAGCAGGAGAGGACTCTTTAAAGTAGAGACACTACATACTGATAAACACTTGAACATCAGCAGGAGAGGACTCTTTAAGTAGAGACACTACATACTGATATAACACCTGAACATCAGCAGGAGAGGACTCTTTAAAGTAGAGACACTACATACTGATATACACCTGAACATCAGCAGGAGAGGACTCTTTAAAGTAGAGACACTACATACTGATATACACCTGAACATCAGCAGGAGAGGACTCTTTAAAGTAAGAGACACTACATACTGATAACACTGAACATCAGCAGGAGAGGACTCTTTAAAGTAGAGACACTACTACTGATATACACCTGAACATCAGCAGGAGAGGACTCTTTAAAGTAGAGACACTACATACTGATATACACCTGAACATCAGCAGGAGAGGACTCTTTAAAGTAGAGACACTACATACTGATATACACCTGAAACATCAGCAGGAGAGGACTCTTTTAAAGTAGAGACACTACATACTGATATACACCTGAACATCAGCAGGAGAGGACTCTTTAAAGTAGAGACACTACATACTGATATACACCTGAACATCAGCAGGAGAGGACTCTTTAAAGTAGAGACACTACATACTGATATACACCTGACATCAGCAGGAGAGGACTCTTTAAAGTAGAGACACTACATACTGATATACACTCTGAACATCAGCAGGAGAGGACTCTTTAAAGTAGAGACACTACATACTGATATACACCTGAACATCAGCAGGAGAGGACTCTTTAAAGTAGAGACACTACATACTGATATACACCTGAACATCAGCAGGAGAGGACTCTTTAAAGTAGAGACCACTACATACTGATATTACACCTGAACATCAGCAGGAGAGGACTCTTTAAAGTAGAGACACTACATACTGATATACACCTGAACATCAGCAGGAGATGACTCTTTAAAGTAGAGACACTACATACTGATATACACCTGAACATCAGCAGGAGAGGACTCTTTAAAGTAGAGACACTACATACTGATATACACCTGAACATCAGCAGGAGAGGACTCTAACTCTTTAAAGTAGAGACACATACTGATATACACCTGAACACAGCGGAGAGGGACTCGTAAGTAGAGGACTACATACTGAATACACTGAACAGCAGGAGAGGACTCTTAAAGTAAGAGACAACTACATACTGATATACACCTGAACATCAGCAGGAGAGGACTCTTTAAAGTAGAGACACTACATACTGATATAACACCTGAACATCAGCAGGAGAGGACTCTTTAAAGTAGAGACACTACATACTGATATACAACCTGAACATCAGCAGGAGAGGACTCTTTAAAGTAGAGACACTACATACTGATATACACCTGAACATCAGCAGGAGAGGACTCTTTAAAGTAGAGACACTACATACTGATATACACCTGAACAATCAGGCAGGAGAGGACTCTTTAAAGTAGAGACACTACATACTGATATACACCTGAACATCAGCAGGAGAGGACTCTTTAAAGTAGAGACACTACATACTGATATACACCTGAACATCAGCAGGAGAGGACTCTTTAAAGTAGAGACACTACATACTGATATACACCTGAACATCAGCAGGAGAGGACTCTTTAAAGTAGAGACACTACATACTGATATACACCTGAACATCAGCAGGAGAGGACTCTTTAAAGTAGAGACAACATACTGATATACACCTGAACATCAGCAGGAGAGGACTCTTTAAAGTAGAGACACTACATACTGATATACACCTGAACATCAGCAGGAGAGGACTCTTTAAAGTAGAGACACTACATACTGATATACACCTGAACATCAGCAGGAGAGGACTCTTTAAAGTAGAGACACTACATACTGATATTATTATTATTATTATTATTGTTTCAATAATGTTAAATCTAAAATCTAGACCTTGATTCTGATATCAGAGATTTATTTTGGGTGTTTCTCTAAATGAGCAGAAATCCCCTCCGAGGCGTGTTTGTTTTCCCCACCCTGTACTCTGAGGGGGGGGGCATTGTGTGCAGGATAGAGGGTGTGTGTGGTGTGTGTGTGTGTGTGTGTGTGTGTGTGTGTGTGTGTGTGTGTGTGTGTGTGTTGTGTGTGTGTGTGTGGGTGTGTGTGTGTGTGTGTTTGTGTGTGTGTGTGTGTTGTGTGTGTGTTTGTGTGGTGTGTGTGGTGTGTGTGTGTGTGTGTGTGTGTGTGTTGAGTCATGTTCAGGTCAGAACGCCAAGTATCTACAAAAGCATTGTTCCTGATGAGGAGGCGTTCACTGACCTCTTAAAGTCCAGGGAGAAACCACCGCAGCTTAAACACATTAGAGCTGAAACTGTCCTCCGTTCATCAGAATCAGAAATAATTCAGATTGTTAATTAATTGAATCTTAAGTTAAAATGTTCATGTTTTCACTGAAGATCTGTGGATAAATGAGACGACGTGAAACATGGAGCTGTGGAACTGTTTAACAAATAATCATAACGTGTTCCTCCATGTTTATAAGTTACCATCCGCTTATTGTGTTATCGCTGAATTGCTCCCTACACACACACACACACACACACACACACACACACACACACACACACACACACACACACACACACACACACACACAGTTGAAGCTTCATTAGCTCTGGTTTCTCCGTTGGTTTTAATCTCAGCTCTTACAGTCCCTCACCCTCTGAGTGTTACTGATGAGGTCATGTTTCCGGATGATGTCAGACTCTGGGCGAGGCCGGCACCACAGAAGAAGAGAGGAGGAGGGTTACATTCCTCCTGAAACAGTGAGAGTCCATACAGAGAGACTGAACCAGAAAGTAAAGATAATATTTAAAGAGTCCTCTCCTGCTGATGTTCAGGTGTATATCAGTATGTAGTGTCTCTACTTTAAAGAGTCCTCTCCTGCTGATGTTCAGGTGTATATCAGTATGTAGTGTCTCTACTTTAAAGAGTCCTCTCCTGCTGATGTTCAGGTGTATATCAGTATGTAGTGTCTCTACTTTAAAGAGTCCTCTCCTGCTGATGTTCAGGTGTATATCAGTATGTAGTGTCTCTACTTTAAAGAGTCCTCTCCTGCTGATGTTCAGGTGTATATCAGTATGTAGTGTCTCTACTTTAAAGAGTCCTCTCCTGCTGATGTTCAGGTGTATATCAGTATGTAGTGTCTCTACTTTAAAGAGTCCTCTCCTGCTGATGTTCAGGTGTATATCAGTATGTAGTGTCTCTACTTTAAAGAGTCCTCTCCTGCTGATGTTCAGGTGTATATCAGTGTATAGTGTCTCTACTTTAAAGAGTCCTCTCCTGCTGATGTTCAGGTGTATATCAGTATGTAGTGTCTCTACTTTAAAGAGTCCTCTCCTGCTGATGTTCAGGTGTATATCAGTATGTAGTGTCTCTACTTTAAAGAGTCCTCTCCTGCTGATGTTCAGGTGTATATCAGTATGTAGTGTCTCTACTTTAAAGAGTCCTCTCCTGCTGATGTTCAGGTGTATATCAGTATGTAGTGTCTCTACTTTAAAGAGTCCTCTCCTGCTGATGTTCAGATTGGTTAGCTGGACAGCTCTGTTGTGATTGGTCCTAATTATGAAGAAAATTGTATTCATTTTGATTTTCAGAAAAAGTCAAATTGTGAGATTTCTAGAAAAGTCAGAATTTTTCCCTTTTTCTTTTTTAACTCTTAATTCTGAGATTTCCAGTAAAAGTCAGAACTGAGATCTTCTATTGAACTCTTAATTGTATTTCTCTTTGCACTTGACACAAATAATGTAGTACCTGCTATAATAATATAGATTGATATCAATGAATAGATAACAATCATTGGACTGGTCATTGACGCGCACACGCGCACACACACACACACACACACACACACACACACACACACACACACACACACACACACACACACACAGAGGAGAAAGCGTAGTAGGAAGTGACTCCTTCACAGAGCAGCTCTATTAAGGGGCAGGAAGCTCTCTGATTGGATAACGGATGTACTTAGCCCCGCCCACATCCTAAAGGACAGGAGACAGGAAGCCCTGATGAAGGGGAGACTACATTCATATTATTAACTAATTAACTACATTTTTTTTTTTTTAAAAGACTATTTGTATTCTTTGAATAATGTTTTTTTTTTTTTTATCCAAACTTTTCAGATATTTTTTGTGGTATTTTTCTTTGAACATTTACTTACAAGATATAACCCAAAAAATGTGTGTATTTAAATATATATTTATACATGGGTGTTAAAGTAACAATGATGAAATGTCTTCAACAGTACAGGAGGCACTCTGCATTGTGGGAAACGTAGTCTTTTATCTTACAATGACTACAGATGATGCATTTATTTATCTGACTTCCTGTGTTTCAGGCCGGTCATCCTGACACGCTGCAGTTTGAGCTGCAGATGAGAGGGCAGCACTTCCTGTTTGACCTGCAGAAGAACCAGTGAGTCACATTTACTGAGGGGCAGTGAACACAACACCAACTAGAGAGGTGTGTCACATTTACTGAGGGGCAGTGAACACAACACCAACTAGAGAGGTGTGTCACATTTACTGAGGGGCAGTGAACACAACACCAACTAGAGAGGTGTGTCACATTTACTGAGGGGCAGTGAACACAACACCAACTAGAGAGGTGTCACATTTACTGAGGGGCAGTGAACACAACACCAACTAGAGAGGTGTCACATTTACTGAGGGGCAGTGAACACAACACCAACTAGAGAGGTGTGTCACATTTACTGAGGGGCAGTGAACACAACACCAACTAGAGAGGTGTGTCCCATTTACTGAGGGGCAGTGAACACAACACCAACTAGAGAGGTGTCACATTTACTGAGGGGCAGTGAACACAACACCAACTAGAGAGGTGTGTCCCATTTACTGAGGGGCAGTGAACACAACACCAACTAGAGAGGTGTCACATTTACTAAGGGGCAGTGAACACAACACCAACTAGAGAGGTGTCACATTTACTCAGGGGCAGTGAACACAACACCAACTAGAGAGGTGTCACATTTACTGAGGGGCAGTGAACACAACACCAACTAGAGAGGTGTCACATTTACTGAGGGGCAGTGAACACAACACCAACTAGAGAGGTGTCACATTTACTGAGGGGCAGTGAACACAACACTAACTAGAGAGGTGTCACATTTACTGAGGGGCAGTGAACACAACACCAACTAGAGAGGTGTCACATTTACTGAGGGGCAGTGAACACAACACCAACTAGAGAGGTGTGTCACATTTACTGAGGGGCAGTGAACACAACACCAACTAGAGAGGTGTGTCCCATTTACTGAGGGGCAGTGAACACAACACCAACTAGAGAGGTGTCACATTTAGTGAGGGGCAGTGAACACAACACCAACTAGAGAGGTGTGTCACATGTACTGAGGGGCAGTGAACACAACACCAACTAGAGAGGTGTCACATTTACTGAGGGGCAGTGAACACAACACCAACTAGAGAGGTGTGTCACATTTACTGAGGGGCAGTGAACACAACACCAACTAGAGAGGTGTGTCACATTTACTGAGGGGCAGTGAACACAACACCAACTAGAGAGGTGTGTCCCATTTACTGAGGGGCAGTGAACACAACACCAACTAGAGAGGTGTCACATTTACTGAGGGGCAGTGAACACAACACCAACTAGAGAGGTGTGTCACATGTACTGAGGGGCAGTGAACACAACACCAACTAGAGAGGTGTCACATTTACTCAGGGGCAGTGAACACAACACCAACTAGAGAGGTGTGTCACATTTACTGAGGGGCAGTGAACACAATACCAACTAGAGAGGTGTGTCCCATTTACTGAGGGGCAGTGAACACAACACCAACTAGAGAGGTGTGTCACATTTACTGAGGGGCAGTGAACACAACACCAACTAGAGAGGTGTGTCCCATTTACTGAGGGGCAGTGAACACAACACCAACTAGAGAGGTGTCACATTTACTGAGGGGCAGTGAACACAACACCAACTAGAGAGGTGTCACATTTACTGAGGGGCAGTGAACACAACACCAACTAGAGAGGTGTCACATTTACTGAGGGGCAGTGAACACAACACCAACTAGAGAGGTGTCACATTTACTGAGGGGCAGTGAACACAACACCAACTAGAGAGGTGTGTCCCATTTACTGAGGGGCAGTGAACACAACACCAACTAGAGACGGTGTAACATTTACTGAGGGGGGCAGTGAACACAACACCAACTAGAGAGGGTGTCCACATTTACTAAGGGGGGCAGTGAACACAACACCAACAGAGAGGTGTCACCTTACTTGAGGGCAGTGAACACAACACCAACTAGAGAGGTGTCACATTTACTGAGGGGCAGTGCACACAACACCAACTAGAGAGGTTGTGTCACATTTACGATGGGCCAGGGCAGTGAACACAAACACCAAAGAGAGAGGGTTGTCCCATTTACTGAGGGGCAGTGAACACAACACCAACTAGAGAGGGTCACATTTACTGAGGTGGCTCAGTGAACACAACACCAATAGAGAGGTGTGTCCCATTTACTGAGGGGCGCAGTGAACACAACACACAACTAGAGATGGTGTACATTTACTAAGGGGCAGGGAACAACAACCACCTACACGAGAGAGGTTGTCACATTTTACTGAGGGGGCAGTGAACACAACACCAACTAGAGAGGTGTCACATTTACTGAGGGGCAGTGAACACAACACCAACTAGAGAGGTGTGTCACATTTACTGAGGGGCAGTGAACACAACACCAACTAGAGAGGTGTGTCCCATTTACTGAGGGGCAGTGAACACAACACCAACTAGAGAGGTGTCACATTTACTGAGGGGCAGTGAAACAACACCAACTAGAGAGGTGTGTCCCATTTACTGAGGGGCAGTGAACACAACACCACTAGAGAGGTGTCACATTTACTAAGGGGCAGTGAACACAACACCAACTAGAGAGGTGTCACATTTACTCAGGGGCAGTGAACACAACACCAACTAGAGAGGTGTCACATTTACTGAGGGGCAGTGAACACAACACCAACTAGAGAGGTGTCACATTTACTGAGGGGCAGTGAACACAACACCAACTAGAGAGGTGTGTCACATTTACTGAGGGGCAGTGAACACAACACCAACTAGAGAGGTGTGTCACATTTACTGAGGGGCAGTGAACACAACACCAACTAGAGAGGTGTGTCACATTTACTGAGGGGCAGTGAACACAACACCAACTAGAGAGGTGTCAATTTACTGAGGGGCAGTGAACACAACACCAACTAGAGAGGTGTGTCACATTTACTGAGGGGCAGTGAACACAACACCAACTAGAGAGGTGTGTCCCATTTACTGAGGGCATGAACACAACACCACTAGAGAGGTGTCACATTTACTGAGGGGCAGTGAACACAACACCAACTAGAGGTGTGTCCCATTTACTGAGGGGCAGTGAACACAACACCAACTAGAGGTGTCACATTTACTAAGGGGCAGTGAACACAACACCAACTAGAGAGGTGTCACATTATCAGGGGCAGTGAACACAACACCAACTAGAGAGGTGTGTCACATGTACGAGGGCAGTGAACACAACACCAACTAGAGAGGTGTCACATTTACTGAGGGGCAGTGAACACAACACCAACTAGAGAGGTGTCACATTTAC